AATTTCATTAAAGGTTGCGGAATAAAGGATAATCATCTCAGCTACAGCTTGGCAATAGCTTGGAACAAATTTTCAGATATGAGTGTAGGAAAATATTGGTTTAAATGCTTTCCCTGCAGCTTTGAATGACAATGAGATGGAGAGAGTCTGAAATAGATGCATAACTTGAACTGCAAGCAGCAACTGATAAGGAAACTGGGGCAGAGGGAATGACTCAGTTGGCTGTGGTGCAGTAGCAAATCCACATGGGGCTTTGGAAATGTTCATCCATGCCAGTGATAATGCACCAACCGCAGAGATGATTATGACAGTCAGAGAAATTCGGAGAGCAGTAATGAAAAATAACCAATGCAATGAACCAGTGGGAACTTCAGAGTCAAAGGGCACAAAGGACGACGTTTTGAAAAATAAAAGGAGGAAAAGGGACTGAGAGGATCTTTCATCTAAAGGCTTCTTCCTGCAGGTTTTATCTCTCCAGACACAAAAATACAAGGCTTATGTCTATTCCCTTAATAACTGAACAACATGTCAAAGAGGAAAGAGAGAGAGAGGGAGAGAAGGCCTTCCAAGATAACATTTAATCATCATAAAAATGCGCGCATGAATGTCACGAAGAGAAAAAAATTGCATATATCTTAAAAAAAAAAAAGTAACAAATCTAACCAAATAGTAAAAAAAAAAAAAAAAAAAGTGTAGTAATGTGTGCAGTGACTTGGACAGAATAGGATAGATAAATATACACTGCCAGCTGATCTCCTTTCATAAGATGACTATTCCATATTTCAAGGGAGTGTCTCCTTTTTTCAACCAAGTGGTCCCTAATCCTAACAGATGACATATTGGTGCTTACATGTCCTGTTTTGGGGCTTCATGCAAGTATTTTCCATTCTCTTTTCTTTTTGAGGGCTTTTTTCAATGTATTTACTATATACATAAACAAGTCTTTAGGGACCCATTATAGAAAGCAGTGCTGAGAAAAACTCCATCCCCGCATCTCATTTCACATTTTAGTGGCAATCACATGAAAGTGTCCCCTTTGGGAAAAGGGTGACTCTTAAATTGTGTTTAAGCCCTTATTCAGAAAATCAGAAACCCTAACTCAGTTCTATCGCACCCCTATCAGGGGCAGCAAAGGTGGAGGCTGAAACCTTACCTGTCCCCTAGCTGATTTGTCACCACCACCCAAGCCAATGCACATTAGGTGACAGGAACTAATATGGAAGTACAAGAAACGGAGGAGTGTTGTGGGTCCTTCAAACGCCAACAACCACGCTCCTCCTCTTGGGATCAGCTGCGGGGATTGCATTATTTCACTAGCTATGCACGTGCCCTGCCGCCATCTGCTCTGCCTTCATGGAAATTCAGGTTAGGTTCTGCTCGGCTTCGTCTGCTCTGCCTCGGGTTTTTGGCAGCCACGCATGTGTGCAAGTTTCTCTCAGCCTTGCCTAAATTGAGAGGCTTGAGGTTGCGGCTGGAGAGCTTGAGTTGGGAGTTACCGAGTGGGGCACGTCATCGTCCATTAGCCCCTGCAGCCCTCTCTGGTGTCCCCCAACCAAAGCCCTCTCTTACGTGGTGTCCCCCATGCATCACACTTGCTACTGACCTGCATGTGGGAATACGATAAATGGCATTTAGCTCTGTGGACCCTCGCATGCGGTAAAACTCCCTGAGAAACATAAACTGGAAGGATGTAATAATCTCTTGCATCAAGCAGGGTGAGACGAGCAAGCTCCTCAGTGTGTCCTGGCATCCTGAGAGCAAATTGCAGAGAGCTGCAGGACTTTCCTTCAGAGCAGCATTTCACTGAAACCTTACAGAGGACGCAACGTGCATCCCTCCTCATCTGTTTGCTGAATGAGGGGAGCTGCAGGCCCCCCCCATTTCCTTGGTAGGAAGCAGCAGTGTGTATGGGGAGGTATATATGATGTATAAGTGCACATTTTTTTATTTATGTATTTATTATCACTAGTCCAAATTCAGCCTTGAAAAAATACAATTGACCCTACATCTTCTGTCTAGCAGTGTGCCAATGACCTGTGTGTCTGCGGAGCTGGGTCCTTGCCAGAGCACTGAGGGTTTCCTGTCTGCGAGAGGCAGTGTCCTCGCCGCACCTCTGGCTCTACACAGTCCTCACCCCCTCTTCAGAAGTGACACATGGAGGCCCAGAGAGAGACAAAATGTTGATTGCATTCTCAACGCCATTCAGGTGTGTAATGCTGCAGGCGGGTACTTAGTGGAGTTTCCAGGAGCATCTCTGCAGAGTTAATTCCTGCCACCCACCTGGCTCTCGTGGTCCCCCAAGGCAAGTGTCAGGGCCCTGGGGCACCCATGGGCCATAACAGCCCTGACCAGCCCCACCCGGGACCCCACCAGGCACCCTGCCCAGGGGCCCAGGAGCCCCGTTGCAGCTCAGCCCTGAGCACCTGGTCTCCACCTGAGCTACGCTCCCCTGCCTCCTGGCTGGACCTGATGCAAGCCCAAGTTGCAAACACATTGAAAAAACAAGAATGTTGGGGAGACAAAGATGCTCGCAAGCTGTAGGGTGACCCTGCCAGACCGTTTTGGGCAGGGGACATCCCAGGCATCACCCCTGTGCCCTGGTGCTTTGCAGAGGGCAGAGCTCAGGTCTCCCGTCACTCCTGCTGCCACACTTCTTATTTCTAGGTAGGCAGCACCTCCTGAGTCACCCTTGTCCCAGGTCTGCTTCCCCGGCTTAGATGTTGTACACAAGCCTAATGGAAGCGTTTATGATCAAACCCCTTCCTTTGGGACAGACTTAATATGTTTTTTACCTCCCATTAACATCATTCATGCACTTTCTAAGATTAAGAGACAACGTCATGTGCTCCTTCGCTGCTGTACCAAGACGGCTTTAGGTCTGACTGTCTTAGGGACTTGGAAGTAATATAAAATGTACTTGGCAAATGCAGGGCTTGCTATCTGATTTGAGTGGGAAGGAGAAAGATTTAACACTGAGGGGGGTGTCACCTTCCCAGCTGGCCTCTAAATCTACTCATGCAAATCCCTCATTTGTCTGACCAGACTGCATATTTTAAAAGCTTTGGGGTTTTTCTTTAATTGGTTTAAGAGCTTGGCTAATGCATAAGGTATAGCAAAAACCAGCTCTGTGTTACACACGATTCTGGGTTATCTCACCACTCTTTCCACAGCCTGAAATGAAAGAAAATAACACAGACGATTATGGGCTAGAGCTGTATGCTTTGCAGGTTTACATGCCTGGGAGCAGCTTGGGATCTATCGATATACTTTATAAGTGCCATTGTTTAGATTTGTATTTTGCTGTAGATATAAAGTGGAAACCATTCCAAAGACCTCTCTGCTAGGAAGATTTTTCTCGCCTATTATTAGCACTCTGCTTTTGCAGCAAGCGCTCATGAGCCAATATGCAGAGTTTTAAAGGACTTCAAAGTGTCATTGGGAACCAAGTGATATGTGTGTTAAAAAGGGTTTAATGGAGCTGCAGTCACTATAGCACAGTGTCTTTTTATAGCAAGTTTTTACAGCATTAAGAAAAACATCCTGCAGACTTCAGTAGGATTGGCATATGGATAAGGTACTTTGCATTATGATTTTTGTTTATCTGCTATTAAAAAAAAAGAAAACCAGCATTTGAGAGAATGATAAGCAGGAACAGGTCTGCAAAACTCAGGCAACAGCTATTGCCTCCATTTTGGGTTTAATTTTTTTTTTCTTTTCTAGAAGAAAAATACATTTGGAAGTCAACGGCTTGGTTTAGAGAATGGAGATACGGAGTGATTTGTATTCACATTTAAGCTTTTAACAGTCTTTTTTTTTTTTTTTTCCCTCAGAGCCACTGGATTATATTATCATTATCACAAGGCAAATCCTGCTTATCAAAGTTGAGGCAAGCTTTCCGGGACTGTCTTTAAAAATGTCATAGGTCAGGCTCCCACAGAAAAGAAGTGGTTTGCAAAAACTGCATTAAATACTAAAGCTGACCTGATCCCTGTGCGGTCACGTTGATCTACAGGGATGTCTGAAGATTTGGCAGGGAATCACTGATTTTAATATATTCTCTATTTTTCCTTTTATAACACCATTTACGAGTCTCCTTTAATTATGCCCAGGAAGCATGTAGGGATGCCAGATGAGACAGGCCCCTCATTGCCCTTTAGCACCCCATGTCAACAGCCTGCCCACTTCTGAAAGAGCCAGGCAAGGAGTGGAAAGGAAAGACAAGTACCTGTGGCTGGCTGGGGGGGTAAGAGACTTGCCCAGGGTTATACAAAAAGGCAGAGGCAGAGGTGGGACATAGCTTTGGCCCTCCAGTGCCTGCATTGTATCCTTATAGCCATCCTTGCATCCACAGTGTCTGGGATTTAGCTGTTTGGACTTGTTCCACCTCTGAAGCGATGTCATTTAAACATGTTTTACTCTCTGCTTTTGCTTCAGGCTGGGGAACGACTGGTTTCTGCATTATCTGGGGGAATTAAAAAAAAAAAGAGAGACAGAGAAACCTTTCATTGTTGTGACTGCCAAAGCAGGAGAAAATCAGGATTTTTCAAGCCTTGCAGGCTGCAGATGAACGTGCTCAAAGCTGATGAGAACAGGTGCTCAGCTCCCGCTGCTGCCCTTACACCCGCAGCTGCCTCCCGTCCCCCCCAGCTCCTCCCTGGCAGAACCAGAGCCCTGGTGAAACCCCGGCGTGGGAGCCCCATGGCTGCAGCGCCCCGTCCCTCCCACCCCCTGTGCCTCTGGCTGAGAGGCCTCTTTCTTTTATTTTTCATGCCCAGTCCTCCCGAACGGAAACCCTGGTCAAAAAATCTTACAGAAGCAGCCGGAGATATGTTTTTGTTTCCTTCTTTGCGGAGGAGGGCAGAGGAGTGACGGGGCGGGGGGAAGGGTTTGTGGGGTTGGGTTTTTTTTTCCTTTTTGCAACACTAGTTGCTCAGGGGAGTGTCTTGCGTTATTAATGCTGAGTGGCTTCGGTACTGTGGTTTAAGGTCGTTAGTCATCCGCTGCTACCGCAGGAGACACGGGAGCGCTGAGCCAGAGCTGTTCATGCAACCCTCGTGGTCCTCCCAGGCCAGCAGGTTGGGAAGAGCCGCAACCGGGGCAGCGGGGGGCACGGGGGGGTGCGGAGAGCGGCCCGGGGCTGCGGGGGCATCCTCTCAGCCCTGTCACGGGGTGCCCACGTGCATGGGACTCGCCGGGTTGTGGTGGGTGGCTGCACAGCCACCCCAAATGGCCTGAGAGGGTCTGAGGGGTGTGCGAAGGGCAGGGGCCGGGAGAGCGCCTGTGATGCGCAAGTGCGGGATCCCCCGTGCACCCCGTGAGAGGGCAGACGTGTGTCCCCCCGCCTGGGAAGCAGTCCCTGCATTACATATAGCTACACAGGCGCACAAGTCTCCTTTCACCTCAAGCTGCTAATGAGGCAAGGATGCAGGATGCTCCCTGAGCATTAAGGGAATACACGTCCACGTGTGCCCTTCCCACCTGATTTCTTCCTTTTTTTCCTTCCTTAGGATGAGGGGGTCTAGGCAAGCATTCCTTAATTTATTCTGCATCCTCTGGCTCCCGCTTCTGCTGAAGGCTGCCTCTTCCTCCCCTCTCCCCCGTGGAAATGACCCACCACCCCCTTCGCTCCCCTCCGGGCTGTACAAAGGACATACCTGCGTCGGTATGTATTCAGGTTTTGTTTGCCTGCTGGACTAGTTCATTTGTTACTCCACCGGTGAGCTGAGAGTTGCTATGCACATCATAAATCACTCCTTTATCTATTTTAACAGCCGTACTGCAAAATACTCGTAGTCTTTGGTGAAATAATCACTGAAGATTTTGCAAGGCCAGCATGGGGTCTGGAGTTATTTTATGATTTTGTTTTTGAGTGGCTGCTTCCCAAAGTTCATGTTTTTGCTCTGTGGGGAATGGCATCTGAAAAGCTGCCTTTAACATCTGTAGGTCTGGGACTGGGAAACAAGGTGTTATGGGGTTCCTAGTATTTGTTAGGGTTCACGATGCATTTTGCTTAACTGCAGGAAGGCACCGTTTCCCTCAGACTCGCCCAGGGTCTCCTTATTGATTTCATTGCCTGGGAAACTATTCTTAAGAATAGTTGGTCCATACTCGGACCAGAGAGCTTTGTGGTCTGGACGGTCATCTCTGGATAGCCAAGTTGCAAGGGCTGTTTCCTCACATTTCCTTTCCTTTTCACAAGCGCACGCGTCTGCACAACCCATACTAAAGTGGGGCGAGCGCATTTTGGCAAACCCCCTCTTGTGTGGCTTTGGTGACTGCGGTGATCTCCACAGCAGCTATAGCTGGGGCTGACTAAGTGATTCCCAAAGCAAGGCCAGTAACACCAAAGTCAATGATGTGAACTGTGGGTATCTGCACCAGAAATGCCCTTGGTGTGAGACTCTGTATACCCAGAGAGATATGGTAGCTTATATTTTTTATGTGAGCAAATGTTAAATGATGGATATGTCTTATGCATTATGATAAAACGTTTTATTTTGTCTTCTTTTAGCTTTTCAGGGCACTTTTGTGCTGTAAACAAAACCTGTCATGGTTCTCCATCATTCAGAAGGAAATACTTCCTTTCAGCCCAAAATTATTTTCGCTGTAGCTCAGGGAACACAATTAGAAATAATAATCCTAAGCCTGATAAAAACAGGGTTTTTCACCTCACTTCTGAGCCGTCCACAGTGCCCCTGCAGATTTTGTTGCCAGCGAGGCAGGATGAACCAAAAGTGGAGCGATGTCGGGGCGGTGGGGCTTGCGTAGCCCCTGCCAGGGTTCAGCCACCAGCCGGAAAAAGAGAGCGAGTTGTGAAAAGCAGAAACGGCTGTCGGGGACTGTCCTTGTTTGGGCCGGCAGCCACACAAGCAATGACCGAGCAGCTGCCAGAGTGAGAGGGAAGTGGTGGTTTTTAATGGTGAGATCTTTAGGCAGCTACGGTTTTGATGGCACAAGAAAGGCGGTGAGCGTGCTCGCCTGTAGGTTTTTTACCCTGGTGTCTTTTAAGTGTCAGGCATGAGCGTTGTCTGCCCTTTCCATCCTATTGACCCAGCAAGGCTCTAAATTCCTAAAGTGACTGCACATTGCATTGAAGTTGCCTTGCACAAGATAAATTGTGCTTTTTTTTCCTCCCAAAGGGAGGAAAGCTGTGCCAGCCCCGTTGCTGGGACCACCGATCATCTCCCCGGCATGTTTGTTCAGTGGGGAGACATCAAAAAACCTGCCTCCCACACCAGTTGCTCTCTCTCTCAGGTGTCCCTTCAGCTAAAAGCATCCACGTGAGCTTGACTCGGGACCAAAACAGACTGTCCACACCTCTGTAAACCGCAAGCTAAAAATGAAGCAGAGCATTAAAACCGCAGGGGCTGAGCCTGGCAGAGAGGGCTGGTGACTGCACAGAGGCGGGCTGCTGCCTGCTAGCCCAGACGTTCGCCTCTGGGGTTTCACTGATTAGCTGCTCTCTCGACTAACTCTTGAAAACACTGACAAGCCATCTGTGTCTCTTTCTTTTCACAAGTGCTAAAGGGAAAGCACGGAAGAGCTGATGGTTACACTGGCAGTGGCGTGGAGCAGGGGTAACGTCAGTTCTTGCGGCTGATTCGGTGACCAGCCCTCTTAGGAGCAGAAATAAAGCCGAGATCAGCTTCATCTGTAGGAGGAGGATGATTGTGATTTCCTTTCAACAGCTTGACCCCAGACCCTGCTAGCTCAGTTTGCCGTCTGGGAAGTCACTGGGAGAGAGCCATGAGAACTTCCTCTGTATCTTCTTGACCTTATAGATCAAGGCAGCATTTTTAATGTGAGAAATGCCCGCTGCCAAATGTATAGGAGATTTTCTTGAAGAAATGGACTTTTTCATGCAAGTTGGTCAGGTGTCTAATCTTTCAGAGTTATTTGCCTCTCTTTTCTGAGGGAAATGAGGTGCCTGCACTAATGAATAGTCATTTCTGATCACTCCTCTGTGTGTACCACCTGCCTGATCGAGATTGCTATGTTAGTAGCCAAAGCTGGTCAGAAAATGGACGCTCTTTCAGTAACAAAACCAAGAAAATATTTTCCATTAAGCCTTTCCATTGAAAGTATCACACTTCTTTAAGAAACATGTAGAAATTATATGACAGGAATGCGAAATGCAGCTCTGGTACCTCCGTTGAATGCGATACAACTTGATTGCTTCCTTCTCCCGTTCCCCTTGGTAGCAGTGCTCCCTGGGTAGGCACCATCTGCCCCAGTATATTCTGGTCGTACTGGGAGAGTGGCTGGATGCTTCAAGAGACTCCCCTGCCCTTAGCACATCCTGGGAAATGTATTTTGGGTAGGCATCTATATGCCAATACGGAATAGGGCTGAAGGAGAGGAGGGTGTGCGTCCAGTGAGGTGCCACAGCAAGCTGAACAGTTCGGACAACTCATAGGGGAGGTTGGCCAAAACATTTCTGCTTTCAGATTGTTTCTTGTCTAAGAAAGAAGGTGACTTTTTTACAGCAAACTTAATTGCGTTAGAAAACATTTAGACAGAAGTTTTAATCAGCCTCAGTAACTATAGAAAAAGTCACACCATTTTTGCTGCATTTTCTTGAAAAATTTGGCTGCTTCATTCAGAGAAAGTCTTTTCATAATTGACTTGGTGTAAAAATAAAGCATCTGGAAAGCATTCCCACCTAAAAAGGGATTTAATACTACTGCCTTTTAGAATTATGGAAAAGAGGGGGAAAGGACCTGATGATAATCCTCCCAGCCACAAGATCAGATGTAGAACACCTAAGCAGTTCCTAATCTTCTCCAACCTGCTCTTAAATAGATACATGGTCTTCCTTTGGCCCTGTCACTAGAAGAATTTTCCCAACATCTGACAGTCTCTTTTCTCCATCAGTGTTTCCTGCCTCCCCAGGCTGGAAAAATGCCCCCCTTTTTGCATACCATGAAATCAGCTCAGGCCCTTCCTCTGGGCCTCTTGCACACTTTGCATGTCACATATTATTCTGCGTTTTCTTTATAGTAGATAAAAGAGCTTTAGTAATTTTCCTATATGCAAAGGCCCATGGAGCTGTTTTTCCTCATGTAAAGATGTTGAGTGTTTTCTCTGTGCGCTGGTTTGGGAGCTGGATACTAGGTCTGGTTTTTGTTTCTGGGTTTGTTACTGACTGACAGTATGGCTTAAGGGTTTTATTCAGGACGAGACCTAGAAACCCTTTTGCTAGGTGCAGCCTGATAATTTCAGTGGACCATCCTGAGAACAAGATGCTGTGTATTTTTCTCTCAAAAATTAAGTATGAATGAGCCCTTCAGATACTCAGGTCTTTGACTTTCCCCATTAGGAAAACACTGCGCATTTCACAGGGCAAGTAAAGTTTTACTTAAGTTAATGTTAAGGTACCCAAAGACAGTACAGTAACACTGGTAACTGTTAACACTAGCGTTAATGTTTCACCATACCTAAGATCATGTTCTTTACTCTTCTACTAGTTCTGATTAATTTTTAAAGGTTTTATTCCACACCTCCCACCACCCTGAATTATGGCAGAGCCCTTAAGGTGTCTTTGCAAATTGTCCTGTTCTCTAGCAAAGGTGACTTCATCCAGAAGTATCTGAAGCAACCTCAAGAAAGGCAGAAGCTGCCCTGGAGGATGCAGAAAGCAGGGGAGACACTGAAAGACAGGAGGGAATTGCTGTATTCATCTCTCTTCAACGTGGTGAAGAAAGGAAATTTGGGGAATTGTAGATCAGTCAGTTAAACATCAATTCCTAGAAAAATCCTGCAGTAGTTAATAAAACTTTATAAAAGCTCCTTTTAAAAGTAAATATGAGTAAGAGCCTCACTGGATTTATCAAGGAGAAACAGTGTCAGATCAATCTAATTTTCTTTGCTGATGGGATAATGGCATGTAGACGCAGAAGAAGTAGTAGATGTTACAGCTGGACTTTAGTAAGGCTTTTGGCACCACCTCAGCACTAATCTAATGGCTGAGAGATATGCGACATTGATTAAGCTTCTACAGGGCAGGACAAAACTGGTGGGTGGCCTTGTTCAGAGACTAATTACAAGTGGCTCACTCCCTAAGCAGAAGGATGTACAAAATGAGGTCTTTCTTGGACATCTGTTTTGAACATAGCATCATTTCTTATTTTCATTAGCCAGGATAATGAAATAGTGTGCTATTAAATTAGCAGCTCATATAAAACTGAAAAGGTTTGCAAGTACAATGGAGGGCAGGATTAAATTCAAAACAATCCTGAAAACTTGGAGCACTTGCCCCCTAAAAAGATCATTTCAATATGGGTATGTTGAAGGCACTTCAGCAGAAATAGTCAATGACACACGTAGCGGATGAGAAATGACCGGCTGGGTAGCATCCCTAGGGAAGATCATCTGGGCTTGTAGTGGCACAATGATGGCATGCTGTCACGAAGAATGCACACACTGCATACACCGAGACGTGTGAACAGAAGTTAGCTTGCAAGACATGTGAAGTTACCCGCTACCTTTCTCAGCGTTGACAAAGCCTCAGAGGAATTTCTGCCTTCCCTCTTGGGGCTGTGCATCAAGAGTGATGCAGAGTGACAGGAGGTTTCGGAGAAAAACAAACATAAGCTATAAAGAAAGACTGAATAAATTAGAGTTAATTAGTCTAGAGAAGAAAAACTTGAGAAAAGACATGAT